TGAAACCAGTGCAAACTCCTGTCTATGAGTAGTTTAGAATTATGGAGAAAAAGATACATATACACATGAAAGCACACACACAGTTTGCAGGAGCTTCTCATTCAAACCTTACAGACTAAGCATTTCTCCTTGTGAATGACCAAACCAGTGAGGCTGAAAATTTTCTTACTTATACCCATTTAACAACAGTGTCCCTATACTTTGTTTAAATGAAAGGAGAACTAGGCCATTGTGCTCAGTGGTTAGACAGGAAGTAATCCAAATCAGGGCTCTAGAACTTCACTTTAGTCAGCAGCACTCACATCTCTCACTAAGTCTGCGGTAGATCAAGAGCAGTACACAGAACAGCCATGTGTTGTTTCTTTCGTGAAAAAAAAGAGCACTTATATTTGCATTTCAAATCTAAGTCCACTTACTAAACTGTCCAAGCTAAAGATAGTCATGCATTTTTCTTCTGCTTTTGCTTTGTGTGGGTGGCACACAGGGAAGAACACATGCTGACAAGACATTTATCTTGATTTCTAACAGACCAAGTTATACAGTTTTGCTTTTTAAAGGGAGGCATATTGCACGTGAATAGGAAAAGCAGAACAGAGCAGAGCCCTTTTGCAATAAAAGATGTACTTGTCAGTAACAGTACAAACGATACCAAAGATGATAACCTAATGAAGAAAGACGAAAAACTCATGTGAAATATCACTTACCCTGTTTCATATATTGAAGAAGACTTTAGAAAAAAAAACAAAATGTAAATATAAAGCTCGCCTATTAAACATGTCGGTGAAACACATACCTATGCATCACTCTCGGACCCATGTTACATATTCTGGTAATTACAGCATCTTGTGTTTTGAAAATAAAAAATAATACTAAAACATGTTATATTGGAAACTGTTTGGTCTTTCTGATCAGGCATGATTGCTAATAAAGAGAACTCGACATATAAATAGATGATTCTGGCAAGAAATTTTAAACTTCAGATACTCATTACTTCATATTCTTACATTTGAAATATTTATCAAGTGTTTATTCAGAAACTATTAAAAAATCACATGTGCGGGGATACATATGAGACATCAGCTGCCTCATCTTACAGTGACGCTGCATTTATGAATATCCTTGCCATTGCCTGCTGCCCAAAGGGGTAAAGACATTATATATAGATGTATGTGTACAGTCCATCATTCGCTCTTTCAAGGTGCCAGTAAACACATGGATCTGTACAAGTGCAATTGTTCTTGACTAAACAATCGGAAACTGGCTATAACAGTTGTCAAATCATTACATTTTGGTTGACTTAAAAAAAAAAAAAAACAATCCTGCTAGAATGAATGACTTCCACATGTCCCTCACTAGTCCACCCAACCATGTGCCCTAGCAGAAAGCTGCTAAAAGGTACCATTATAAATAAGCATATTTGTTTTTCTATTGTGACCAGATCATTTGTCTTAGATTGTCTATTAATATCTGGTTATGACTGGTGCTAGCTGTAATGATTTACAAGTTTCTCCAATACTACATCAGCTTTAGGAGAAGGAAAAAAAAAAAAAAAAAAAAAGCTCTGAATGTAGTACATTTCCAAGCAACCTGGGGCAACCTGCAGACTTTGGACTCCACTGAAAAAAAAAAAAAAAAAAACTTAAACACTTAAACATCCCAGTAATTTTACTTGTAAGTAGTTCGTACGAGCAATTTTACTCGTAAGAATCTTTTGGGTTGTTGATTAACTTTGCTCAAAGATTGAATCTACAGAGAGACAACAGACATGAGCAAAGTTGTTAATGAGTAAAGTTGTCCATGTGCTTAAGTGCCTGCAGGATGAAGGCCTATGTTGGGATTTCTGTCATAAGTAAAGATACTCAGGCAAGTCAGATTTTGCAGGATTAGGCCCTAAAATAGTGAAGGAAAGAGAAATGCTAATGTGCATATAAAAATAGGTGCTACAATAAAATATTTTTTTATATTTCATCAATAAGTTATTTTCACTAACCAGTTATGGATCATATATCTCTGCACTCTTCAATGATTTGTCCACATCTATGGTGATCCTTTTAAAGATCATAATATATTTTTAATGCAAAAGTCCAGAAAGCATACAAATACATCCTTAAAAAAAGGAAACCTTGTATTAAAGTCGGGGTGTGCTAATCTCTCCATAAAAGCCATTTAGACTCACCCATGGCTAAAAAGGGGAAATGTGCGCTGTACTCTTCAACCAGAAAGAAAATAAAAACAAACAACATCTGTCCAAAGAAAGGTGACCACGACTTTTATACTTGTGACCTGAACGATATGACCTGACGAGACCATGCTGCCACCTTGCCCAAGCACACACTGGGCACACGCACCAAGCAGGTGTTGTGCCCTGTTTACACAATGGTTGCTTTCCTACTTACAAACACAGGAGAAAATAAAAAAGAAAATAGAAATAAAATAAAATAAACAGCACACCCTTTCTGAATCATTCCCCCGAAGCTGAAAAATTCCTGTGCCAAGGCACTTCACCCTACAACAAAATGAATTAACGGGTGGGAGAGGAAGGGGGGAGGAGGTCAGCATTTATGTTTCTTTGTTTTGCGTTGTTGTTAAATACAAATACTCTAGAGAAGGAGCTGCTGGAGTAGTTGGGGAGGCTGGAGAGGGATGTTTCTCAGAACTGGCTGAATGTGGTCTGTTTTTCCAGCACTTCGAGGTAGTCCGGCTCTGCGTTTAGTTTTGCTTTTAGCTCCAGGTACTCGTTCCTGTTGGGCTCTACATAGACAGTACTCGGGGGGTTGTAGAGCACCGCCTCCCGGAGCCGGCCCTCCCCCGGCCCCGGGTGCAAATACTGCTGGGGACGCCTAAGGTCATAGTTGGGGGAGTAGGTGTAGGCGGCGGGGAGCTTGGGGTAGTCGGGGAGGGTAGAGCCGGGGGTGCCCAGCGTGGGCGGAGGTGAGTGTTTGTCGGGCTCCAAAATGCCCCTGTAGAAACGATCGGCCTCCTGCGCGGGGGAGCGCAGCTCGCCCCGCGGCTCGATGGTGCTCACGCTGTACGCGGCGCTGCGCAGCGGCGCGTCCTCCGCGCCGGGCGGCGGCGGCGCCCCTGCCGGCTGCGCGGGGGGGCCGCCGTAGGTGACCTTGAGCTCGTGGAGGGCTTTGTA